ATCAGGGTTAAATATACACTACAAACTAAGTCATCATAAGCATAGCAAACTACAAGTCAAAATAAAGCAACTGCTACAAGTCAAAGTCATCATAAGTCTATGTAAAAATTCATTCAGATGTATTCTTTGAAACAAAATCTGATAAATGGTAGACTTGGTGCTTCAACCAATTGACCAAGTAATCGGGATGGTCTTTAAGTTGCCAATAAGCATCTCACAAAGTCTTGTACAGAACAAGATTGACACATCTCCAATACAAATCTTTATCACCAAAAACTTCTGGAAGTTTATTTAGGTGAGCCACCACCTCAGAAACTCCTATGTCATTTGCCAAAATCTTGTTCACTATCTTTGTTCTAGCTCTATTATCCTTAGTTATTTCACTCATCGCATCTGCTACTTTCATTGAGGCAAGGACTTTTTGCTTTTTCCTCCCACCAACTCCCCCAACCCTCTTTCTCTTGCCTTGACTTCCATCACCACTAGTTCCACTAGTATTTGTGGTGACATTCAGACCCAACCAACTCATCAGTGACCCCCGTAGGTGCTGCAATATCAGATAAATTTAGCTCCTCTTCACTATCACCAGATCCTTCTTAAAGGTCAATGGCGGGGTAGTACACATCCTCATCATCATCATTCTCCTCTATTTGGGTCTGGGTAGTAGACAGTACAAATAGTGTCTCTCCAATTGCCAAGGCATCCCTGAATATCAAGGTTAATTCCCTTGCAAACCTCAACCCTTTATGTCTAAATTTTTCATAAAGGAAACTTTCTTGCAAGCATTCAAGTAACCAACAATTAAGATTCTCAAATTAAATTTTAATCTAAAAAACACTTAATAACTTTTCATACTAAGATTTTTTGCTCCCACCATTCATTTGGAGCATCGACAGTATTCTTGACACTATCCCATCCTAAAAAACAACTCATCTGCTACTTTTTGCTTTTGTTAAAGCAGTTCATTTCCTTTGTTTCCTATGCACTTGCTCCAAGCATTCCTTAATGAAAATCTCTGTCAAGGTCAAATTCCACACGGATTTTCCTTTGTCACTGTGCATTGTTCTATAGACTAGCCAACCATTACAAACATACAAAATCAATAAATATCTCTACATATATGTATCAATTTCCAAAATGTGATATAACAAATATTATAACAGAAGCAGAGTTCATACAAATGTAAAATACATATTGTTGTGCAGTGAAAAAATGAAAGAAATTCAAAAGTAATTGAATAACGTAGTAGAGAAGGTAACAATCATGATACTGAATTTATTGGGGGTGCGTGATAAAGAGTAAAAATAGGTGAAGAGCGATAGCCAAATGCTTCAAATGAACTCATATCCAAGTTGTCTAGACCCAGATCGAGCCATAGGTCTCGTGCAACATAAAGACACATCCATCATCACAATTCTCCACCAAACCCGAAGCCAAGTCCTAAACCAAGACCACATGAAACTCCCCTCTCTTTTTTTCACTCTCATCCTCGAGTACAGGACCTGGCCCAACTCGTCTCTCATGCAACCCATACCGAAATCAACACAGATAAGAAGCAGAGCATAAGACGAAAAACAAAAGGTGACTGTAAAAAACAAAAGCAGAGCAGATAATTTAGACTTTAGAATCTAAAGCAAAAAATGAAAGTTGCTCATAGTTCATTAAAAGAGAACAAGAACCAGAGTGAGGACAGCACAGTAAGGAATGAGACGACATAGGCAGAGCAAAATTAGATGACAAAGAGGAAGAAAGAAAACTCAGCACAGCAACAACAAAGGCAAGGAATGAGATGAAAGGAAGAACCTCACTTGCCAAGGACAGTCGACAGGGAGTAGATCCGACGACGGCGACCTCAGATCTGGTGGAGATGGTGGAGATCAAGGCTCGACTGTAACGTGGAGAAACCACTGCTCAAGAAACTACACTTTCATCTCAGAGCTCGGTGCTTCAACATGGAGATATTGGAACTTCAACTAAGGTAGAAGCGAAGCAGATCTAAACGCGACTATAATTAGGTGGTGCCGGATGTCTGGAGCTCGAGAGGTGAAGTAAAGCAGATCTGGAGGGCATCACAAATAGGAGGTCAGGGGTGGAAGAAAGCAATATAAAAAAAACCAGATAGCTCGTGCCTTGTGGGTTGAAAGCTAAGAGGAGAGAAAAAGTATGTAAATTTTGAAACATCATTAATGATTCCAATAGTTTACAACGTGAACGCTGATGCAAATGTCAGGAGAGTGGGCTTCTGAAAAAATGCTCGTTTTTGGCTAACTGAGGTTGAGATTTTTTCTTAATCCAAACAAAACAAAATGGGCTTTTTTTGTTCTAACCTTAGTTGGGGGCTATGATGTGTGATCACAAAACACATTTTCCACTATTGACAAAAGGACTTTTCACATCGTTCTAAATGTGTGACACAAAAAGTTTTTTTTTTTTTTGCTGTAGTATTCCATTTGCATGTTTTGAATTTAGTTGTTTTTAAAATAGTTTGCTTTTTTTTGTTTACATTATAAAAACGTAGGTAAAAGAGTACATTACCTCTTAAAGTCCAATAGTATCATAAATTTTAAACTTCTACAAATTATTATTTTAATTTTAAAAATAGTGTAATCTGATCCTTATTGTTAAGAAAAATTAATTTTAATAATTAATTAACAAAAAATGGTAAAAAAGAGTTAAAAATTATATAACTTTTTGGATCCTTATCTATAATTTTGGGCATTTATTATAAATTTTTGATCATTTTCTATAATTTTTAAAGTCTTTTTTACTATTTTCTAATCAATTAATGGTCAAAGTTATCTTTTGTTAATTGCAAGAGCCAAATTGTATCATTTTTAAAATTTGAAAGAATAATATGAATAATTAATAAACAAGTTTATAGGGTAATTTGCTCATTTATCTTACCAGTTTTGAACTCAAGACCTTTCTTATTGGACATTAATTTACTAATTAAGTATTTTCCCAATCCATCAAACTATTATTGGCATTTTGTTTTTTGAGTTATAGCTTGTGGTTTTAAGGCTTCATTATTAAACTAGGAAAAAAGTACTCATTAAAGTCAAGAAAGAGTTAAGCATATTAATTGTATAAACTGAATGTGAAACCATGCTTGCATCGAATAGATAAGATGAAAGGGAAAGTTTCCTGTCTTTCTTCCGACTAGCCTTGAAAACTTGAAAGCACGTTAAATAAGTCTGTGCATGTTTAGATTAACTGTCAACCTTAGTTAGAATCAGCCCAACTGAGGTTAGAACAAAAAAAGCCCATTTTGTTTTGTTTGGATTAAGAAAAAATCTCAACCTCAGTTAGCCAAAAATGAGCATTTTTTCGAAAGTCCACTCTCCTGGCTTTTGTATCAGCGTTCACATTGCAAACTGTTGGACTCATTAATTATGTTTTAAAATTTGCATGCTTTCTCTCTCCTCTTAGCTTTCAACCTGCCAGGCACGAGGTATTTGGTTTTTCTTAATGTTGCTTTCTTCCTCTCATGACCTCCTATGCAGTACTTCCATATCTGCTTCGCTTCACCTCTTGAGCTCCAGACATCCAACATTAGGTCACGTTCAGATCTGCTTCTCTTCTACCTTAGTTGAAGCTCCAACATCTCCATGTTGAAGCACCGATGTCTGAGATGAAAGTGTAGTTTCTTAAGCAGTGGTTTCTCCATATTACAGTCGCGTCTCGATCTCCACCATCTCCATTAGATCTAAGGTTGCCGATGCCGGATCTACTCCCCGTCGACTGTCCTTGGCAAGTAAGGTTCTTCCTTTCATCTCATTCATTGCCTTCATTACTGCTATGCTAAGTTTCTTTTCTTCTTCTTCATCGTCTGATTTTGCTCTGCCTATGTCGCCTTATTCCTTACTATGCCGTCCTCACTCTAGTTCTTTTTTCTTTTTTTAATGAATTGTGAGCAGCTTTTGTTTGTTGCTTTGGTTTATAAAGTTTGAACTATTTGCTCTACTTTCATTTTTTCCAGTCACCTTTCATTTTTCATCTTATGCTCTGCTTCTTATCTGTGTTGATTCTGGTATGGGTTGCATGAGAGACCAGTTGGGTTAGGTCCTGTACTTAAGGATGAGAGTGAAAAAGAGAGAGAGGAGTTTCGGGTGAGGGCCTGTGGAAAAATGCAAAGGAATATCGATGAGCACTCCTGCTCACTGTGACTTGATGCTGCATTGGAACCTTTTTTAGAGATTTAGAGCCCCCCGATTTCATGTCATAAACTATGAGCACTCCTACTCAGTTAAGAAGAAGTACCTAAAACATTAATGACATAAACCTTATTAAGCAAAAGTGCTTTCATGTCTTTCATAAATATTGAGATTTGATTCCATATATTGCTAGTTGATTTTGACCTAAAATAAGATAATAACTGATTGATTAAAATGCTTATATACATCAAAAACAATGTCAGACAGTGAAAGATACAAACACATTAATTAGAAAGAGGAATCAGATTAATCTGCTCAGTGGGAAGGAAACAGTCTCAATTAATTAAAGATAAGTATTACCACTTGGATGGTTCATGTGAGCTTTTGCCTTCAACCCTTGACTTCAAGGACAAGTCAGCTTTCCCATTTGAAGACTCTGTATCTTCACATCAAATAAGTGGATTTTGTGAAGACTAAAGAAATTTGCATTATAACAACTAATAAAAAAGAACCTAATTTCTCCAGCTTCTTGAGAGAAGATTTACTAAGGATCTCTCGATAAAATTTCTTAACAAAAACTTCAAGAATACAAATTTACAGTACATACGCCTAACCATTGCTAATAGTGAGTGATAGAGATTGTTCTATTCTCTCAATCTGGACAATGCAATGGGTAATTGAACAAAAAAGGAGATATTGTCATCAGATTATTCTGCTTTTGTTATAATATTTGTTATATCTCATTTTGGAAATTGATACATATATGTATAGATATTTATTGATTTTGCATGTTTGTGATGGCCGGCTAGACTATAGAACAATGCACAATGACAAAGGAAAAGCCGTATGGAATTGACCTTGACAGAGATTTTCATTAAGGAATGCTTGAAGCAAGTGTATAGGAAACAAAGGAAAGGAACTGCTTTCAACAAAAATGGGTGGCAAGCAATAATTGAGGGGTTTAAGGCAAAAACAGGAAAAAGGTATGAGCAGAAGCAACTGAAAATAAATTGGACAACATGAAGAAAGAGTGGAACATATGGTACAAATTATTTTCTAGTGAAACTAGCTTAGGATGGGACAGTGTCAAGAATACTGTTAATGCTCCGAATGAGTGGTGGGAGAGAAAAATCTTGGTATGGATAAGTTATTAAGTGTTTTTTAGATTAAAATTGAATTTGAGAATCTTAATTGTTGGTTACTTGAATGCTTGCAGGAAAATCCCCTTTATGAAAAATTTAGACATAAAGGGTTGAGGTTTGTAAGGGAATTAACCTTGATATTCAGAGATGTCTTGGCAACTGGGGAGACACTATTTGTACCGTTTGCTACCCAGACCTAAATAGAGGAGGAGGAGGATGATAAGGATGTGTACCGCCCCACCATTGACCTTCAAGAAGGATCCGGTGATAGTGAAGAGGAGCTAAATTTATCAGACATTACAGCACCTATAGGGGTCACTGATGAGTTGTTGGGCCTGAATGTCACCACAAATACTGGTGGAACTAGTGGTGATGGAAGTCAAGGCAAGAGAAAGAGGGTTGGGGGAGTTGGTGGGAGGAAAAAGCAAAAAGTTCCTACCTTAATGAAAATAGCCGATGCGATGAGTGAAATAGCTAAGGATAATAGAGCTAAAATAGAGACAGTGAACAAGATTTTGGCAAATGACATAGGAGTTTTTGAGGTGGTGGCTCACCTAAATGGACTTCTAGAAGTTTTTGGTGATAAAGATTTGCATTGGAGATGTGTCAATCTTGTTCTGCACAAGCCTATGTGAGATGCTTATTGGCAACTTAAAGATCATCCTGATCACTTGGTCAATTGGTCAAGCACCAAGTCTACCATTTACCAGATTTTATTTCAAAAAATACATCTGGATGAATTTTTATATGGACTTATGATGACTTGACTTGTCTTTGACTTGTAGTAGTTGCTTTATTTTGACTTATAGTTTGCTATGCTTATGATGACTTGGTTTGTAATGAATATTTAACTCTCATCTAATGCTTATCTTATGCTTTTTTTATGTTGTTGAATGATATTTATATACTATGAATATTATATTATATACATGTGATATTTGCATACTATTTTACCTCAGGTTGAAAAATCATGGAAGATTCCAATGAATATATGTTAGGTTGGAATGAAGGTTGGGATGTAGATGTGGCTCATCAACTACTTCCCTTATTACAACAAGATATAACTGAACAAGAAGAAATATGTCAATTAGTTGGTGAATATATGATGCCATATGTGTGTAAAGAGCCACGGAGAACTAGTAAGCAAACAGGGCAAATGTGGGTCAATGAGATTTTGCAAGGTCATCTTGATCGTTGTTATGAAATGTTACGAATGGAAAAACATTTATTTAGGCAACTATGAGCGACGCTAGTTGATCTTGGTCTAAAGAAATCTAAAAAAATAGGAGTTGAAGAAATGGTTGGAATGTTTTTAAATACAGTTGGGCATGGAGTTAGTAATAGGATGATACAGGAATGGTTTCAATATTCAGGGGAAACTGTCCATAGAAATTTTCATAAAGTATTAGTTGCCTGCCTTAATCTTTCCAAAGAAAACATAAAGCCACTTGATCCTTTGTTTCAATATGTTATTTGAAAATTCAAAATGATCCATGGTATTAGCCATTCTTTAAGGATGCTATAGGAGCAATTGATGGCACTCATGTGCCATGCGTGGTTAGTGCTGCTGATCAAATCAAATTGATTGGAAGAAAGGGATATGCAACACAAAATATCATGGCTGTATGTGATTGGGACATGTGTTTTACTTTTATTATTGCGGGATGGAAAGGTATGGCTCATGATGCTCGAGTTTTTGATAATGCCCTATCAACTCCTTCAATGCATTTTCCGGCATCCACCTCCAGATATATTTTATTAAAGTTACTATAATCATTATTATATTGATTTAATGTTGGTAAGGTTTACAACACTTCCTTTTATTTAATAGGTAAATATTATTTAGTTGATTCTAGTTATCCAACACTAAATGGGTATCTTGGTCCATATCGTTGTGAACGTTATCACCTTCCAGACTTCAGGCGAGTTGCAGGATTTGTAAATAATAATGAGGTCTTCAATTATTATCATTCAAGTTTGAGATGCACTATAGAAAGAACTTTTGGAGTGTGGAAGAATAGGTTTGCAATTATATGAAACATGCCCAAATTTAAATATGAAACACAAGTTTAAATTGTTTGTGCAACAATGGCAATACATAACGTTCATCTTCAGCTTGTATGAACTGCTCATCAGTAATTGAATTTCTCCTAATAAAATTATGTATTGCCATTGTTGCACAAACAATTTGAATTAAATTTGGGCATTTTTCGTATAATTGCAAACCTATTCTTCCATACTCCAAAAGTTCTTTTTATAGTGCATCTTAGACTTGAATGATAATAATTGAAGACCCTATTATTGTTTGCAAATCCTGCAACTCGCCTAAAGTCTGGAAGGTGATAACGTTCACAATGATATGGACCAAGATGCCCATTTAGTGTTGGATAACCAGAATCAACCAAATAATATTTACCTATTAAATAAAAGGAAGTGATGTAAATTTGACCAACATTAAATCAATGCAATAATAATTATAGTGACTTTAATAAAATATACCTGGAGGTGGATGCGGAAAATGCATTGAAGGAGTTGATATGGCATTATCAAATACTCGAGCATCATGAGCTATACCTTCTCATCCCGCAATGACAAAAGTAAAACACATGTCCTAATAACATACAACCATAACATTCTGTGTTGCATATCCCTTTCTTCCAATAAATTTGATTTAATCAGCAACACCAACCAAGCATGTCACATGAGTGCCATCAATTGCTCCTATAGCATCCTTAAAGAATGGCCAATACCATGGATCATTTTGAATTTTTGAATGACATCATTGAAACAAAGGATCAGTGGCTTTATGTTTTCCTTGGAAAGGTTAAGGCAGGCAGCTAATACTTTATGAAAATTTCTATGGACATTTTCCCTTGAATGTTGAAACTGTTCCTGTATCATCCTATTACCAACTCCATACCCAACTGTATTTAAAAACATTCCAACCATTTCTTCAACTCCCATTTATTTAGATTTCTTTAGACCAAGATCAACTAGTGTCACGCATAGTTGTCTAAATAAATGTTTTTCCATTTGAAACATTTTATAACAATGATCAAGATGACCTTGCAAAATTTCATTGACCCACATTTGCCATGTTTGCCTGCTAGTTTTCGTGGCTCTTTACACACATAGGGCATCACATATTCACCAACTAATTGACATATTTCTTCTTGCTCAGTTATATCTTGTTGTAATAAGGGAAGTAGTTGATGAGCCACATCTACATCCCAACCTTCATTAACATATATTCATTGGAATCTTCCATGATTTTTAAACCTGAGGTAAAATAGTATGTAAATATCATTTGTATATAATATAAAGTACATAGTATATAAATATCATAAAAGATAAAGCATAAGATAAGCATTAGATAAGAGTTAAATATTCACTACAAACCAAGTCATCATTTGCAAACTACAAGTGAAAATAAAGCAACTACAAGTCAAACACAAGTCAAAATAAAGCAATTACAAGTCAAACACAAGTCAAAATAAAGCAACTACAAGTCAAACACAAGTCAAGTCATCATAAGCCTAGATAATAATTCATCCAGATGTATTTTTTAAAATCCAATCTGGTAGATGATAAACTTGGTGCTTCAACCAATTGACCAAGTGATCAGGATGATCTTTAAGTTGCTAGTAAGTATCTCGCATAGGCTTGTACAGAACAAGATTGATACATCTCCAATGTAAATCTTTATCACCAAAAACTTCTGGGAGTCCATTTAGGTAAGCCACAACCTCAAAAACTCCTATGTCATTTGCTAAAATCTTGTTCACTATCTCTATTCTTGCTCTATTATCCTTAGCCATTTCACTTATCGCATATGCTATTTTCATTGAGACAGGGACTTTTTGCTTTTTTTCTCCCACCAATGCCTACAACCCTTTCTCTTGCCTTGACTTCCGTCACCACTAGTTCCACCGGTATTTGTGGTGACATTCAAGCCCAACAACTCATCGGTGACCCCCGTAGGTGCTGCAGTGTCAGTTAAATTTAGCTTCTCTTCACTATCACCGGAGCCTTCTCAAAGGTCAATAGTAGGGTGGTACACATCCTCATCATCATCATCCTCTATTTGGGTCTGGGTAGCAGATGGTACAAAAAGTGTCTCCCCAGTTGCCAGAACATCCTTGAATATCAAAGTTAATTCCCTTGCAAATCTCAGACCTTTATATCTAAATTTTCCATAAAGAAGATTTTCCTGCAACCATTCAAATAACCAACAATTAAAATTCTCAAATTAAATTCTAATCTTAAAAACACTTAACAACTAATCCATACCAAGATTTTTCACTCCCACCACTCATCTAGAGCGTCAACAGTCTTCTTGTCACTGTCCCATCCTAAGTCGGTTTCACTTGAAAACAACTTATGCCATACGTTCCATTCTTTCCTCATGTTATCTAGCTTATTTTTCAATTGCTTTCGCTCATACCTTTTTCTTGTTTTTGCCTCAAACCCCTCAATTATTGCCTGCCACCTATTTTTGTTGAAAGTATTTCCCTTCCTTTGTTTCTTGTACACTTGCTCCAAGCATTCCTTAATGAAATTTTCTATCAAGGTTGAATTCCACACAGCTTTTCCTTTGTCACTGTTCATTGTTCTATAGACTAGCCAACCATCACAAACATGCAAAATTAATAAATATCTCTACATATATGTATCCTTGAAAATGAATAGGGGATTGTAATCAAATCTCAAGCTTTCAAGAATATTAGCTATGGTCATCTCTCTTAATAAACCCAGCTAACTCCTAATTTCTCTTATCCAATCAAACTGACATTAAGAAACAAATTTTGGAATCTTTAAACTTTAAAAGAATAAATTAAGAAAATAAATATGTAATATAATAAATTGTAAGAAAATAAATATCTAATTAGTACATTAAAAATATGACATGCATGCATTTTCCAGGAAGCTATGTACACTAAATTTTTTTACAGGAAGCTATGCTTAAATAAATATGTACACTAAATTTTTTTCCCTTTTATCTTTGCAATCCCAACCATTTATTTGTTGATAATGTATAGATTTCTAGGATTGTAAAATAACCATGGATGATCCGAATATTCTCAAAATTTTCTAAATCCATGTTAGAAAGTTATGCTTTTATCCCTTCTATCAAAGCAAGAGAAATCCATGTTAGAAAGCTATTTTCGTACAGCATTATAGAAGAATCAATTTGCACAGCATACATACGTTTTCTAGGAAGCTATTTTCACCTTTTCAAGAATATCATGAGGCTTTCAACTCACCGAAAAATAAAACGAACAGGGAATGAATGAATAAGGGATTGCTTTCAGATTGCAAGCTTCCATATTCGTCTAACATCATTATAAATAACAGTAACTTCAATTTCAGAAGATTGGCCGTAAAAACAAGCATTATAACAGCATTATCAGTCTTTCTTTACATGCACACATGCAGAGCACGACAGATCAAGAAAACAGAAAACAGCAACTCGAGTTCCAGAAAAAAAACGACAGCTCTTCCTCTGCTCTAAGATAAACAAAACAGGGGATGGAAAATAAAGAGGAGACCAAGCACAGATCAGTTTTAGAATAGCAGAGGATGACAAGCCGCGAAAACAAAGACCAGTAACTCGTGTTCCAGAAAAAAAAAAGCTAGGTCTTCCTTTGCTCTAACGTAAACAAAATAGGGGATGGAACGTAAAGAATATAACAAGCATTATCAGTTCTGGAACAGTAGAGCACGACAGGTCTAAGTAAAAATAGTCTTCAAAGAACGAAGAGCAAAGCATGACAGGAAGGAAGCAAAGAAGGAGATGAAAAAAGAATGACATTACTTGACAAAGACAAGCGATGGAGAGCAGATCCGACGATGGGAAGTGTAGATCCGATAGACACAATAGAGATCAAGAGGTGACAGGAAGAAGAAGCACTTCGAAGCAAGGACACGGTGGATGCTAGAAAGGACGACAATGAGCTGGAGATCGGTTAGACACAGATGACTGGAGCTGGAGATCGGCTGGAGGGAGCAAATGACTAATAGAAGGAGGTAGATCTGAGGTGTGTAGAGCTTTATGTGAGATCTGTGTATGTTTTAGAGCAGATGGGAAGGTCATAGGAATAAAAGCAACACACACACAGGAAGCTAATCACAACTATAGGAGATAAGAGAGAGAATGTATCAGAAAATGTATTTTATTGCTTTTAACATGTACTAACATGAACACGCAGAAAAAAAAGCTAGGGCACTGAGCTTCTAACTCAACGCACGTTTTCATGCCAACTGAGGTTCAAAGATTTTGTTAATCCAAACAAGATAATTTTATCATTTTACTTCCTAACCTCAGTTTTCCCCATTCTAACTGAGGTTACAATGCAATCCAAACATGCTCGTTTTTGAATTTCTCGTAACAAGTCACGCATAGATCTAGGGCATGTTTGGATTGCATTGTAACCTCAGTTAGAATAGGAAAAACTAAGATTAGGAGGTAAAATGGTAAAATTATCTTGTTTGGATTAGCAAAATCTTTGAACCTCAGTTGGCATGAAAACGTGCGGTGAGTTAGAAGCTTACTGCCCTAGCTTTTTCTTCTTCACGTTCACATTAGTACCTATTAAAAGCAATAAAATGCATTTTAAATTCTAATGCGTTCTCTCTCTTGTCTCCTATCTATCGAGCTGTGCTTAGCTTACTGTGCGTGTTACTTTTATTCCTGTGACCTTCCCATCTGCTCCAAAACATACACCTCAGATCTCGAATAAAGCTCTACACACCTCAAATCTGCCTCTTTTCGTTAGTCATTTGCTCCCTCCGGCCGATTTGTAGCTCCAGTCATCTGCGTCCGATTGATCTCCAGCTCACTGCCGTCCTTTCTAGCATCCACCATGTTCTTGCTCCAGAGTGCTTCTTCTTCTTATCACCGGATCTGCTCTCTATCGCTTGCCTCTGCCAAGTAATGTCATTCTTTTTCATCTTCTTCTTTGCTTCCTTCCTGTCGTGCTTTACTCTTCGTTCTTTAAAGACTATTTTTACTTAGACCTGTCGTGCTTTACTGTTCCAGAACTGATGATGCTTGTTATCCTCTTTACATTCTATCCCATGTTTTATTTACGTTAGAGTAGATGAAGACCTGGTTTTTTTTTCTAGAACTCGAGTTTTTGGTCTTTGTTTTCTTGGCCTGTCGTCTTTTATTGTTCCAGAACTGATCAGTGCTTAGTCTCCTCTTTATTTTCCATCCCCTGTTTCCTTTATCTTAGAGCAGAGGAAGAGCTGTCGTTTTTTTCTAGAACTCGAGTTGCTATTTTTTATTTTCTTGATCTGTCGTGTTTTGCATGTGTGTGTATAACGAAAGACTGATAATGTTGTTATAATGTTGGTTTTTACAGCCGATCTTCTGCAATTGAAGTTACTGTTATTTATAATGCTATTAGACGAATATGGAAGCTTGAAATCTGAAAGCAATCCCCTGTTCATTCATTCCCTGTTCGTTTTATTTTTTAGTGAGTTGAAAGCCTCATGATGTTCTTGAAAAGGTGAAAATAGCTTCCTGGAAAACACATGCATGCTGTGCAAATTGATTCTATGGTGCTGTACGAAAATAGCTTCTTAGAAAACGCATGCATGTCATATTTTTAATGTACTAATTAGATATTTATTTTCTTACAATTTATTATATTACATATTTATTTTCTTAATTTATTCTTTTAAAGTTTAAAGATTCCAAAATTTGTTTCTTAATGTCAGTCTGATAGGATAATAGAAATTAGGAGTTAGCTGGGTTTATTAAGAGAGATGACCATAGCTAATATTCTTGAAAGCTTGAGATCTAATTACAATCCCCTGTTCATTTTTAAGGATACACATATGTACAGATATTTATTAATTTTGCATGTTTGTGATGGTTGGCTAGTCTATAGAACAATGAACAGCGACCAAGGAAAAGTTGTGTGGAATTCAACCTTGACAGAAATTTTCATTAAGGAATGCTTGGAGCAAGTGTACAAGAAACAAAGGAAGGGAACTACTTTCAATAAAAATGGGTGGCAGTCAATAATTGAGGAGTTTGAGGCAAAAACAGGAAAAAGGTATGAGCGAAAGCAATTGAAAAATAAGCTAGATAACATGAGGAAAGAATGGAACGTATGGCATAAGTTGTTTTCAAGTAAACCGACTTAGGATGGGACAGTGACAAGAAGACTGTTGACGCTCTAGATGAGTGGTGGGAGTGAAAAATCTTGGTATGGATTAGTTGTTAAGTGTTTTTAAGATTAGAATTTTAATTGTTGGTTATTTGAATGGTTGCAGGAAAATCTCCTTTATGGAAAATTTGGATATAAAGGTCTGAGATTTGCAAGAGAATTAACTTTGATATTCAAGGATGTTCTGGCAACTGGGGAGACACTTTTTGTACCATCTAATACCTAGACCCAAATAGAGGATGATGATGATGAGGATGTGTACGACCCTGCTATTGACCTTCGAGAAGGCTCCGGTGATAGTGAAGAGGAGCTAAATTTAACTGACACTGCAGCACCTACGGGGGTCACCGATGAGCTCTTGGGCTTGAATGTCACCACAAATACCAGTGGAACCAGTGGTGACGGAAGTCAAAGCAAGAGAAAGAGGGTTGTAGGCATTGGTGGGAGAAAAAAGCAAAAAGTCCCTGCCTTAATGAAAATAGCATATGTGATAAGTGAAATGGCTAAGGATAATAGAGCAAGAACGGAGACAGTGAACAAGATTTTAGCAAATGACATAGGAGTTTCTGAGGTTGTGGTTCACCTAAATGAACTCCCATAAGTTTTTGGTAATAAAGATTTACATTGGAGATGTGTCAACCTTATTCTGTACAAGCCTATACGAGATGCTTACTGGTAACTTAAAGATCATCTTGATCACTTGGTCAGTTAGTTGAAGCACCAAATCTACCATCTACTAGATTAGATTTCAAAAAATACATCGGGATGAATTTTTATCTAGGCTTATGATGACTTGACTTGTGTTTGACTTGTAGTTGCTTTATTTTGACTTGTGTTTGACTTGTAGTTTCTTTATTTTGACTTGTGTTTGACTTGTAGTTGCTTTATTTTTACTTGTAGTTTGCAAATGATGACTTGGTTTGTTGTGAATATTTAACTCTTATCTAATGCTTATCTTATGCTTTATCTTTTATGATATTTATATACTATGTACTTTATATTATATACAAATGATATTTACATACTATTTTACCTCAGGTTTGAAAATCATGGAAGATTCGAATGAATATATGTTAGGTTGGAATGAAGGTTGGGATGTAGATGTGGCTCATCAAGTACTTCCCTTGTTATAGCAAGATATAATGGAGCAAGAAGAAATATGTCAATTAGTTAGTGAATATGTGATGCCATATGTGTGTAAAGAGCCACAGAGAATTAGCATGCAAACAGGACAAATGTGGGTCAATGAGATTTTGCAAGGTTATCCTATTGTTGTTATGAAATGTTTTGAATGGAAAAACATCTGTTTAGGCAACTATGTACGACACTAGTTGATCTTGGTCTAAAGAAGTCTAAAAAAATGGGAGTTGAAGAAATAGTTAGAATGTTTTTAAATACATTTGGACATGAGTTAGTAATAGATGTTACAGGAATGATTTTAGCATTCAAGGGAAACTGTTCATAGAAATTTTTATAAAGTATTAGCTGCCTGCCTTAACCTTCCCAAGGCAAACATAAAGCCACTCGATCCTTTGTTTCAACAATGTCATTCAAAAATTCAAAATGATCCACGGTATTAGCCATTCTTTAAGGATGCTATAGGAGCAATTGATGGCACTCATGTGCCATGCATGGTTAGTGCTACTGATCAAATCAAATTTATTGGAAGAAAAGGATATGCACACAGAATGTTATGGTTGTATGTGATTGAGACACGTGTTTTACTTTTGTCATTACGGGATGGGAAGGTACAGCTCATGATGCTCAAGTATTTGATAATTCCATATCAACTCTTTCAATGCATTTTCCGCATCCATCTCCAGGTATATTTTATTAAAGTTACTATAATTATTATTGCATTAATTTAATATTAGTAAAATTTACATCACTTCCTTTCATTTAATAGGTAAATATTATTTGGTTGATTCTAATTATCCAACACTAAATGGGTATCTTCGTCCATATCATTGCGAACGTTATCACCTTCCAAACTTTAGGCGAGTTGCAGGATTTGCAAACAATAATGAGGTCTGCAAGTATTATCATTCAAGTCTAAGATGCACTATAGAAAGAATTTTTGAAGTGTGGAAGAATAGGTTTGCAATTATACGAAAAATGCCTAAGTTTAGATATAAAACACAAGTTCAAATTGTTTGTGCAACAATGGCAATACATAATTTTATTAGGAGAAATTCAATTACTGACGAGTAGTTCATACAAGCTGAAGATGAAAGTGTAGAAGTCTAGAAGGAAGATATCGATATTGGTGAACCATCCTCATCAAATCTACCCGGATTATCAAGACAGATGCAGTGTGTTCGTGATACAATTAGAGATCAACTTGTAAATCATATCAATTAAATATTAATTTATTTTAGGTTTTCATGGTTGAATATTTAATATATTTTACTTATTAGTTGTGATTTTAAGTTTAATATTTTTTACTTATTAGTTAGTCAAAAAAATATAAACATGCTTATTTAAGATTTAATATTCAAAATAAAAAATTCATGCTTATTTTTGTCATTAAACATCTCAACTGGTTTTTGAATTAAACCATCCAAACAAATTTCAATTTATGTGACTGACTTTAAAAAAAAATGATATCCAAATATAAATCATATTATATCAATTAATTTTTTTTAAATTTTAATTTATTAACCTCAGTTGAATCTTAAATTTTTCAATTCTCAATTCGACAATGAGCACTCACGTACGCACAAGCATCGTCCGTCCATGTGTTCCCTTCGCGAACCGTAAATTATCGTGTTCTTCTCATTTTCCAGCGTAAGCCTTTGAAGAGCAAAATGTGGGCTGTTCAAGAAAGCCAAGAAGTGGGTAGGTGAAAGTGCTTGTCTTTGACTATATTATTTCCATAATTTGTTTCTAAATCGTCTTCGTCAACAATCCCTGCTCTTCCTTCTATTTGGGTTGAGGATTTTCTCAGAATTCATCCTACAACTAGGGTTTTGGACCGTTTTTCGTTCGGTTTTATTGCTTTATCAGGATTCAGAAGCCTCGTAGTTTAGTTGATTCTTGATTTTCTCATAATTCAGGACAACTTAATCTTTGAAATGTTGGCTGTGGTCCTCCGAACAGCCCTTGATGCAAGCGGGATTTGGTTTTTGTGCAGTGTATGCCTCGAAACCTGGTGTCATTTGATGCTCAAAAATTGAAGTAACCCACTAGAATATCTTTGGGGTAAACTTTTTTTCTTAAAAAAAAAAAAAATCTGATTTTTCTGCAACATCATAGCTGGTGGTGGTCACTATACTCTGATTCGTCTAAAAGATCTTGGTTTTATACCTAGTGGACAAATACGCTATCTCTGCAATATTCTGATGCTAGATTATTCATGTCATATTGTTTTTGTTCTTTCACTGTCGGTTTAGAACTTTTTCATGCGAATTATGGTCGTTTGATAGTTCCTGACAGCAGCAACTACTGCTACTAGAGCATTACTTGTACTAATTCAGTGAAGTGCCTAGAAACAAATAATCGATTATTAAATGTTATTCATGTCTTTGGATGGTTTACATATTGATTGGATCCTTTGAATTGAAGAGGGAATTCAATTGAGGTTCCTTTGAGAAACATTTTCCAAATGTTTTGACCTTGTCGATTCACGTGTTTCTCACACATGTAAACTACAAAACATTGTTTTCCTTTTTTTCTGCTTTTTGGATCAATTATGTGACATTTTTTGTTTGAGATTGATGATAAATTAGGTGTTCTTTTTTTAATGAACGACTGGTTGTGGAGCAAAAAGATGCTGAAAATCATTTTGCTGAGTTTTTGATCACATGCCATAAATATTTTGGATTCCATTTTCTTATTTGTTTTGAGACGTTATCGCTACCATGTTTTTAAATGAAATTTTCTCTTACTGTAACTGTTTTAAATGATCTGATTAAATTTGTTTTCTTATTTTTTTTGAAGGATGAAAAGTGCCAGAGATTGGGTTTTCTCTCAGTTGATGTACAAGTCACTGGTCTCATTAAGGCTATTATCAAGCAGTGGTAATGTCTATGATGAGGGACATCAGGGTGAAGAATATGTTGATCAAGGTTCAACCTGACTTTACGATTTGTTTAGAATGACTGCAAATGCAATTATATATTTGTCACTAATGAAAGAATGTTTCCGTTTGGCTTCCCCCATCCCCTAAGTGGGGTGGATGGTTAAATATAATGAATATTATCAGAGCTATCTTCTTTTTCTGTCATTTTTTCTGATTAGACTTGACTGTCTACTAATGAAGTGATTTGAAGGATAACATGGAATTGAGTACTGTAGCATGTATCTAATAACAGTTATATACTTCATGTACCAGTTTTTGACTGGTGGCAGGACATGACGGCTAGGTCCAGCCCTTGAAGGGGTTTGGAAGTGAAATTATTTGTGTTTGTATTTTATAGTTCATTCACTCAAAACAGGATACATATATAGATGCTACAGAAACGATCAAATCTGATCGTATCAGGCAAAAAACTAAAAATGGAAAAATCCCATATATTTGGGGATATAAGAATAAATAGCAAATATTCTAATAACCAGATTATATTAGGTAACTAGGGCAGGCTTTTCTAATGGGCCCAAGAGACAGCAAGCCCACTTCCAACACTCCCTCTCAAGCTGGTGAGTAGATATTGATCATTCCTAGCTTGCTTCTAAATCCTTCAAACTTGTCTTGAGTCAACGATTTTGTCATTACATCAGCAATTTGTTGACCTGAAGGAATATATGCTAAGTCAATTATTTTTCCCTCAATTTTTTCTCTGATGAAGTGCCAATCAATTTCTACATGTTTCAATTGATCATGTTGAATTGGATTTTTGGCAATTTTTATGGTTGACATGTTATCACACCAGACCTTGATTGGAGAATTCACATCCATCTTCAGCTCCCTTAGAAGTCTGATAATCCACATTCCTTCACATACTCCTAAGGATAATACTTGATATTTAGATTCTGTCGAGCTTCTTGATACAACAGGCTGTTTTTTTACTTCTCCATGTCACAAGATTACCCCATACATAGGAGCAATACCCAGTGGTAGAATGTCTGTCACTTTTTGAACCTCCCAAATCTACATCAGTGAACATCTCTATGCTTCTAGAGTTACTTCTCTCAAAGAACAAGCCTTGTCTTGGCGTTTTCTTTAGGTATCTGAGAATTTAATACACGGCTGTCATATGTTCAATTTGAGGACTACTAGAAAACTGACTTACCACACTTATGGTATAGCAAATGTCAGGTCTTGTGTGGGACAAATAGATCAATTTTCCCACCAATTTTTGGTATCTTTCTTTGTAAACTGCTTTACCATCTGGCCTAATCATCAATTTTTGATTAAGCTCCATAGGTGTGTATGTTGGTCGAGCCCCCAACATTCTGGTTTCTTTTAGCAAGTCAATAACATACTTGTTTTGAGATATGCTAATCCCTTTCTTGGTCCTGACTACCTCCATACCCAAGAAGTATCTCAGATTTCCAAGATACTTGATGTCAAATTCAACAGCAAGTTTCTTTTTTAAGTTGACAATCTCCTTAGCATCATTTCTTATGAGAACGATGTCATCCATATATGCAATAAGAACAGTGATTTTTGAACTATAGTGTTTCACAAATAAGGTATCATTGCTTGGCATTGAGTATATCCTTGTTTCTTTATTGCTTGATTGAACTTGTCAAACCAAGCCCTTAGAGACTGTTTTAGTCCACAGAGAGATTTGAAAAGGTGGCAAACTTTATTTGAGTTTCCTCTGTTCCTCAAGCCTAGACGTACCTCCACGTATACTTCTTCCTTGAGATCACCATTTAAGAAAGCATTTTTAACATCCAATTGATGTAATGGCCAATCCAAATTTGCAGCAATAGATAATAGAACATTAATAGTATTAAGTTTAGCTATTGGGGCAAAGGTTTCTTGGTAATCAATGCTGTAGGTTTGTGTGAACCCTCGAGCAACTAGACGAGCTTTGTATTTATTGATCGTCCCATCTGGGTTATACTTGATTGTGAAGACCCACTTGCTACTCACAATTGATTTTCCCTTGGGTAGCTCCGTAAGCCTCCAGGTTTTGTTCTTGTGAAGAGCTTGTAGTTCCTCATTAATAGCTTCCCTCCATTTTGGATTTGCTACAGCTTCATCATAACTTTTGGGTATCTTGACCTTCTCAACATTAGCAACAAAGGTTCTTAGATGAGACAACTTCTTGTATGAAACATGCCTGCCAATGGGATGTTGAGTGCAACTCCATTTTCCTTTTCTTAAGGCAATCGGCCAGTGTAAATTTTCAAGACTTGGTTCATGTGCAGACTCTTGACTTTGCCTTGTTGTAGCAATGGACTCACACCCACCATGTTGCTGTTCAGAGGCATTTAAAGGCTCTTCCACCATAGTCTCAGCTGAATTTGTTTCAGAAACAAGATTCAAAGGCTCAAATGGATTAATATCTTGAAATCTGGATCTGGTGGATAAAGATTCAGTGCTGTTAGGTAGTGAATCAGAATTTTCTGGGCTGTTTTCAGAAGGAAAAGATAAGTCTGATTGGGAATGAGGTATTGAAGTATGGGGCTCATGCTGATCAAAATTAGTGAAATAATCGTGCTTGGTTTCACAAATGATCCATTCATACTTTGAGATCTCAAAAGTCTTCTCCCCTTGAATGGGTGATTTGGGAAAAAGGGACTGATTTTCAAGAAATTTGACATTCATAGTCACATAAACCTTATTAGTAGAAGGAGAAAAACATTTGTACCCCTTTTGGGATGAAGAATATCCCAGAAAAATGCATTTTAAAGTATGGGAGTCAAGTTTACTTCCTTCCTCAGTGTAAACAAAAGCAGTGCAGCCAAACACTTTAGGAGAAATGGATGAAATTAAAGGAGAATTAGGAAAATGTTCAAGAAATTTCTCAAGAGGAGTGGAAAAATTTAAAGGTTTAGAAGGCATGCGATTGATTAAATATGATGCGGTAAGAATGGCATCCCCCCCAAAATCTATTAGGCACATTGCTGTGCATTATGAGTGCACGAACAACTTCGAGAAGGTGCCTATTTTTTCTTTCAGAAACACCATTTTGTTGTGGAAAATATGCGCAAGACGTTTGGTGGTGATCACCATGTAAGTTACAAAATTCTGTAAATTGAAAATTCAAATATTCCTTTCCATTATCACTCCTAAGAATCTGAATTTTAGTTTGAAATTGAGTTTCGACAAACATTAGAAATTTTTTAAAATAGAGAAAACTTTGGACCTATTCCTCATAAGAAAGATCCATGTTAACCGAGTGTGATCATCAATAAATGAAACAAACCAATGGGCTTTATAATTAGTTTCAATTTTAGACGGACCCCATACATCATTGTGGATGAGAGTAAATGGCTTAGTGGGATTGTAAGAATAACTAGGATAAGAATTGTGAGTTTGTTTGGCAAAGTGGCAAGTTTCACAATGGAAATCGGCAATAATTTTATTACTAATATTGGGAAACACAGCTTGAAAGTAGCTTAGACTAGGGTGGCCTAACCTAGAATGCCACAAATGAACATCATTCATAGACATGGAAGTAAAGACACGAGAAATACGTGCTTTTGGTAAGGTTCCTTGAAGATAATAGAGTCTAGGCCACTCCTTAGGATTGCCAATCATCTCCCTCAAGGCCAAATCCTGAAAAACACACCCAAATTTGTCAAAAACAACAAGACAATTAATCTGATGTACAATTCTACGCACAGATAGCAAGATGCACTTAATGTCAGGAACATAGAAAACATTTCTTAATTTTATTCTTTTAGAAATGATCACTATGCCTATTCCCATAACCTTAGCAAACTGCCCATTAGCTACTTCCACCACATCATGTTCTTTGAATTCAGTAAATTCAAAAAAAAGCTCCTTGTAACCGGCGATATGATTTGTAGCTTCAAAGTCTACTATCTAAAAGTTGCTAGAAGAAGAAGCACCACTAAGTGCTTGAGTAAGGGCAGTGTCTGCTTGGGCTAGAGTAACTGAAGGGATATGTGTCTCACTAGAAGCAGGAGCAGGTTGATTACCATGTTTGTCTAAGATTTTTTGAAGGACCCGAAGCTCCTCTGTACTTAGAGACCCATTATCTGGTATAGCTGGTCAAACCATCATGCCTTTACTGTCACTTCGCGATTTCTGTTTGTTGTTAGAGGGCTTATTGTATAATTTCCAACAAACTTCCCAAGTTTGACCCTTTTTATTGCAGTGATCACACCACCGGGCAGCTTTATTCCCTTTGGAATCTTCTTTTGTTCCACGAACAGCCAAGGCCAAGACTTCTTGTGGAAGAGGAGAAGTAGAGATGGAAGAAGACCTTCTTGGGGATTTAGTGAGTACCTTCCGGCTTTCTTCACATTTAATCATGTTGAAGGCTCCTTCTACTATTGGCAGTGGTTTAACACTCATAATTTGGCCACGAGCATCTTCAAATGAGTCTTTAAGACCCAAAAGAAACTCATGATAGTGTTTTCGGTCAACTAGTTGCTTGTAGTATAACTCATCTTTAGTGCATGACCATGTATGAACCTCGTATAGGTGGATTTGCTGCCATAAGCGTTTCAGTGCACTAAAAAATTGAGTAACAGTGAAATTACTTGGAACTAGTGGCCGTAGTTGACGTTTGACTTGGAAAATGGTTGTTGTGTTCTCCCCACTAGAGTAGGTAGTTTTGGTTGAGTCCCATATCTCTTTAGTAGAAGTAGAAAGAAGATAATTCTCACTAATTTCTGGCATCATTGAGTGAATCAACCAGGCCATCGCCAGATTATTCTCGACGCATCACTTGTCATATGTAGGCTCGTAAGGATTCAGTAGTGGAGGAACCCATGTCAGGTAACGTTCCTTTTGTCGACCACGTATGATCATTAGCATGCTGTGGGACCATTAGAGATAGTTGTGCTCAGTGAGACGGTGCGAGTCAAGGTGCAAAGCAAAGTCGGAGGAGCCCATTATGGTAGACGATAGACCTTCCCTAGTCGAATGTATTCGTAAAGGTGATGAGTCCGCCCCTGTTGAGTTCGATCACAAAGAAGAATCCTCATCTATGGCAAGGACACGCACCGAAAAACCCAACGCTAAATGATAGTCCATCACGCCACCAAAAGCTGTGATACCATAAAATTATTTTTGCTTGTATTTCATAGTTTATTCACTCAAAACAGGATACATATATAGATGCTACAGGAATGATCAAATCTGATCGTCTTTTATTGTATTGGGCAAAAAACTAAAAACGGAAAAATCCCATATTTTTATATTTTACTTCTAATAGGAAGAGTAGCCTTACTTCGCTAACAATAACAAGCCTTATCCCACTAGGTGGGGTCAGCTACATGGATTATATGATGTTATTGCACTTTATCATTTATTAAGCTTTTAGAAATATTGTTAATTAAAAAATCTCGCTCAACAACCTCCAAAAGTGTTCTCTTCGGTCTTCCTCTACCCTTCTTGATAGAGTTTAAAGTCATCTGTTTCACTTTCCTCATAGGTGTCTCTTGTGGTCTTTTTTGTACATGTCCGAACCATCTCAAATGATATTCTACTATTTTTCTTTCAATAGGTGCCACGCCCACTTTTTCCGTATTCGTTCATTTCAAATTTTGTCTTTACGTGTACATCCACACATCCATCTCAACATTCTCATATCTGTTATTCTAACTTTATGCTCTTGATGTCCCGTCAAAGCCCAACATTCACTACCATATAATATTATTGGTCTTATAGCAATTCAATAAAACTTCCCTTTAAGTTTATCAGGTACCTTACGATCGCAGATAACTCCTTTAACATTTTTTCAATTAAACCACCCCGCTTGTAAAATATGTGCAGTATCTCCATCAATTTCTGCTTGCAGCCTTACTTTGCTGGTAAAATAAAATTCTTCATATCCATCCTAGTTGATAGCTTAAATTTAAATTAACAAGGCTGGGCCACCATATGAACTACTATCTGCTTCTATTTATGAATGATTGATTGGCACAAGTTATTAGATTGTCTGCAGCTTGTATGTTTTTCTTGTGTGTGGAGAACTAAAAGACCCCTTTTTCTTGCTTCAACAAAGAAAACAAGTAAAACAGAAGTTTAAATTTGCTGCTAGTTCTAGTGGACGTGAACTTCCTTACTTCTGATGATGCTCTAAAGAATATATCTTGCCATTTCGATCTAAAGTTGGCATCTTCATTGAATACCAAAGCAACCAATGCCAAATTCGATACCTAACAACCTGTTATAATGGTTTACATTACCCTCTTGTTTTGTTGAATGGAATGTCTGCTGTTGATTATCAATTTAAATAAACGATATGCTATGTTATAAATAGAGGTTGATAGTTATACATTTTCTGTTTTGTTAGGTTCAACCCACTCAGCTAGTTTGGTAGTGTCACCAGATCCTTCTAATTTGTTGAACTTGTCTAGTGGTAATCAGAGCAATCAGCATAGTAGCACCTTGCATCAGGTTTCAGATATAGGACTTTCCCAATATCAACACAACATCAATGGAGGACAGAAGGATACTTTGGCAAAGATTGAGGACCTCCGAGTTAAATTCTTCCGCCTGCTTCTGCGCTTTGGTCAGTCGGAGGAAAATCTCCTTGTTGCAAAGGTTCTTTATCGTATGCACTTGGCAACTGTAATTCGTGCTGCGGAATCAGATCTGAAAAGAGTCAGCCTTGGTAGAAGTAGAGCACGAGAAATTGCAACCCAACAGGAAGCATCTGGTCTTCCTGAATTGGATTTCTCCTGCACAATACTTGTTCTGGGAAAAACTGGAGTTGGTAAAAGTGCTACCATAAATTCTATATTTGATCAAACAAAAACCATTACTGATGCATTTCAACCTGCTACTAATTGCATCCAAGAAGTTGTGGGAACTCTAAATGGGATTAAAGTCAGAGTTATTGATACCCCTGGTCTCCTGCCTTATTCTGCTTGTAATGTAAAGAGAAATAAGAGGATCCTGCATTCTATAAAGAGATTCATTCGAAAATCCCCACCAGACATTGTTTTATACTTTGAACGACTGGATTTTATGAATGCTGGATATAATGACCTCCCCCTTTTGAGGCTAATAACTGAAATATTTGGCTCGGCAATGTGGTTCAACACCATCCTTGTCATGACTCATTCTTATTCCGCAATTCTGGAAGGACCCGATGGAAAAATTGTTAATTTGGATTCATATGTTTCTCAATGTACTAACTTAATGCAGCATAATATAAATCAGGCATTGTCTGATACAAGACTTGAAAACCCTGTCCATTTGGTTGAGAACCATCCCCAGTGTCCAAGAAATGTTATGGGGGAGAAAATTCTTCCAAACGGACAGGTTTGGGTATCTCAACTCTTGTTATGTTGCATTTGCACCAAAGTCTTAGGTGATGTCAATTTCCTCCTTAAATTTCAAAACAGTCTGGAACTGGGGCCTGTACGTGGTGCTCGAGTACCTTCTCTGCCCCATCTGGTCTCCACCCTTTTGAATCGCTCAGTACCCAGTCCAAGTGGAATGGACTATGAAATTGATGAAATTTTACTCTCAGATTTGGAGCAAGAAGACGAATATGATAAATTACCGCCTATCCGAATATTGTCAAAATCTGAATTAGAAAAGTTGTCCAAGTTGCAAAGAAGAGAGTATCTGGATGAGCTAGATTACAGGGAGGCTCTTTACCTAAAGAAACATTTGAAAGAAGAGTCTCGTAGACACAAGGAGGAGATGATATTGAAAGAGAAAAATTTGTCGGATAGTGAGCATCCTGATGATCAGCAGGCATCTTCAGAGCCTCTTCTATTACCGGATATGGATCTTCCTCCAAGTTTTGATTCAAATTGCCCTCTTCATAGATACCGCTACCTTGTGACAACTGACCAATGGCTTTCTAGACCTGTTCTTAATCTCCATGGATGGGATCATGATGTGGACTTTGATGGTATAAACTTGGAGATAGCCACACAAATGAAGAAGAATGTATTTGCTTTGGTTACGGGACAGATAAATAAGAACAAGCAGGATTTTAGTATTCAATCTGAGTGCACTGCAACTTATGTGAAACCTAAGGGTCCTACGTATTCCATAGGTGTTGATGTTCAATCTGCTGATAAAGACTTGGTTTGTACAGTTCATAGCAACACCAAATTTAGAAGCATAAAGCACAATATCACTGAATGTGGAGTCTGCATTACATCTTTCACAAAGAATCATTATCTGGGTGCAAAGATTGAGGAAAATGTTTTACTTGGGAATCGACTAAAATTCACCATGAATACCGGACAAATGGTGGGTGGTGGACAAGTTGCCTATGGTGGTAGTTTTGAAGCTTCTGTACAAGGGGGAGATTATCCGGTTAGAAATGACAATGTTAGTCTGACAATGACGGTCCTTTCCTCCAATAAGGAGACGGTGTTGAGTGGAAGCTTAAAATCTGAGTTTAGGCTGAGTCGAAGCATCAAAGCATCTGTTAGTGCTAATCTCAACAGTCACAAAATGGGGCAGATGTGTATAAAGACAAGTAGCTCTGGGAATTTACAAATTGCTCTTGTTGCAATTTTCTCAATTTTCAAGATGCTACTGCGTGGAAAGACAACTGAGAAGATTAGCAAGGAAGAACTTGAAGTGGTGAACTAATCAACACCCAAGACTTAGACCTGGACGTCATTGCCCCAGGGAAAGAAGGTTAGAAAAGTTCATAGTCATAATTCTTTGTAAAGGTTATGCAATTAATGTTCTTTCTTCATGCTTGAGAAGCCTATTTTGGGAAGTGTAATAGGTAAGACCACCGGCTTTAGTCAGTAGCTTGTTGATAATAAATGATAATATAGCTGAGGCCATTGAGATTTATATAAAGTAAAATAAAGTCATGACTGTAGAGTCAAGCAGAGGAAAGGTTTTTGTTGGTTTCTTTTCTTTTGGTTTTTTTTCCCCTTTTGTGATTTGTTTTAAAAAAAGTTGAAATATGAATTTTCTTACAAAACGGAAATTTTTCTTTTAGCCCGTGCAATTTGTATAGTTTGTGCAGGTAGTTTCTTATAGTGCCTTGTAGAAGCATGCTTCCATCTCTTTTCCTTGTAATGAATGACACTGACCTCTTATTGAGATTTAACTGAATTTTACTTTGAGAGTTGTCTTGTTTCAAAGTATTGTTCGGCATTTTAACAGCTCATATGTGCAGCAGAAAGTTCCTCAAAACATGACTTTATTTAGCTGTACTTCTTGTCCCCGAGCTTCGAGTCGTCGAGGCTTATTTATCCATAAAATCAAAGAGTTGTTCACTGAATCAGTTTAGCTTATTTATAAAGTCTTATATATTGTAAAATATAGGAAAGTTTTACGGTTCAAGGAACAGAAAATTAATAGTAATTGTGGGACCTACCAGCATTTAAAAAAAATTAATTAATTTTCTCAGCATCTTTGCTACAATATATTTTTGTTATGCATATTTTTTTTATTTTGTTAAAAAAAGGGGTGAAAGACTACTTTTTATTTTTAAACTATTTTTGGAGGAGCATATAATATCCAGCTGGTACAAAATAATTCATCAATCAATAAAATGGTGGTGCCTAACACCTTCCATCCAATTGACACCAACGGTTGTTTTAAGTGCCTGTTTAAATAGAGTTAGAATCATTTATATGAACAAAAGCATGGTTTTGCTAAAAAAAAAAAAATCTAAACACTTTCACTTCCTGGTAATCAATTATTAGAAGCCGAACTTGTTTTTCTTTAAGGTACTTGAAGTAGCTTATCAATATCAATTTTATCGTTACTCTTATTTATTATTTGTCAGAAATATGAGCTGTCCCTGTGCATGTACTTTTGGTTGTTTATATTATTAAATCTTATATTCACTTTAGATCAAAAAACCAAAAAAAAAAAAAAACAACCTTATATTATTGTCTAGCTCGCTTGTTTAGAGTTAATATTTGGATCTATTAGTTTATGACTTTCGATCATGTGCAGTAAATTCTTGTGCAGTGGTTGGAAAGGGGGTAATTATCACCATGCATTTTATCTATGGGAAGAGATATGCGTAAAAAGACTTCTCATCCACAAAGCATATAATCATATTTTATATTTTTAATAAAGACGTTTTATTGCTAATACAGTTTATATTTAATTCATATTGCCCAAATTAATGTTAAAATTTTAATAATTTTTATAAATTAACTATCTTTATTCTGAACAGATCATATTTTAAATTTTTAACTTGTAATTTTTCTAAAAAATATTTTTTTAAGAATTGCTAAGATATTATCTTTATTTTTCATATTGTATTTATCAAATGAAAAATTACAAAAATTATTTTAAAAATTTTCATATTATATCTGAACTTTCAAAAATATATCTAGATAATTAATTTAACAAAATAAATCTTTAAAAAAATAATATTCAATTTAATTGTCCAAATTAAATCTATAGTATTTAAATTGGTGATTAACAAATTTATTAAAAGATTTTATAATTTTTTATTTGAATAAATATATTAAAATCAAATTTTGATAAATATGATTGTGTGATTTGCAAATGAGAAGCTTTTTCACACACCTCTCTTGTCGACCATTGGATAAAGTACACAATCATGGTTATCCAGTTATAAGTTACTGCACAAAAAGCCATTGCACATGATTGATCTGGATCCCACTCACCTCTCCCTCACTTTTTGTTTTCACTCTTTCTCTCTCTTCATTTCCTGATTCGCTTTCCCTCTTCCTCAAATATCTGGCTTCCCAAAGGGCGTGATGCTAATGCACAAGAATCTGGTAATCTCAGAGGCCTAGCTTGAAGAGGACCCTGCCATTAATATCACTTGAAGCTTCGTCGTCTTTCGACAACATACCAGACAAAGCCTTGAAGATTTTAATATAGAGAGAGAAGTGTGGAATATTTGTATCGCCCCTGACCATTACTCGTATTTCTTTTCTGGTAATTTACAAGTATGGCTTAAACAGGATCCGCAGCAACTAGGCAAGAACAAGTACAACAGATAGCCTTGGCTGAATATCTTCACATTTATCTGTTGGCTACACTGGAAAGCAAGATGTAGAAGGCTGTTCGAGCAGTGTAGCATCAATGCCGAAGACATCGCTCATTGGTGCATTCACTTGTGAAAGATACTGTGAACAAGTATTAACACGTAATCTTCAAGGGGCGCAACATGGAAACCATCATCGGCAACTACTACATTGACACGAATGAGCGATGTTGATGGATTTATCAAGAACAATCATGCAGCATATGGCGACTTACAATGGACCAAAACGTGATAACTACAAGGGAGAATCACTGTAAAAGTATATCATTCGTGGACAAAAACCAATAACAAGTTACCATTTTCGAAAACACAAGTACTTGTTCCAATTTTAACATTTCATTTTTTATTGGCCTTTATCTATGAATAAAATTTTTTAGTGATTCTTGCTATGAATAACATTTTTCAGTGATTCTTGTGCGATTTTCCCTAACTACAATCAAGAGATATCATCTATAGAGCAAGTGAAGCGGAAATCTCCCACACCAGCAGGTCACTGATTCAATGCGCTAATAGATTGGCTATAAGAGTGCCCATCATGACTCCCCCAGCTGGCTGAATTTCCCCAATGTTGGAATCTGGAAGCTTGATATGCTAGTTTAATTTCTTTTTCTTCTTTCAAGCCCAGCCTTGCCTTTGTACTAAAAAAAAAAAAACAAAACAAAACAAAAACAAAAAAAAAAAAACAGAAACAAAGAAAGAAAGAACATGTCATCCCCTCATTGCAGCGTTCTAGTTGAATTTCATAATGGGCGTACATTATAATTTTTTTTAATTTACTAGATAAATAAATCATTCGAAGATTGAAAGCACCAGCACAGAAGAATTATTCATTATTATTTGGACACCTTGCTTGTCATAACTCAGAATAAATCGAGAGTTAATTCTACAAAACATGACTGGAGCACTCTTAGCCCTATTTTTACCTCTCGGGGATTGATACAATAACAGACTTTTCATGAAAAGAAAGATCGGTTCCTATTACGTTCCAGTCGAGCCTCCCTCTGTAGAAACCAAAAGCAAAAACCAGTTAGATTAGTACTTTGGACAATGCACACAAATTTGCATATTCTGTTTGCAACATGGTGTAATTTGTTCATTAGAGAATGAAAAAAAAGTAAATGTGAGAGTCAAAAAAATTACATGCCTCAACAGGTAAATTGGTAATTTAAATATTTCAATTCACTTATATATATAATGCTTGATAAGCACAGAGCCTCGCTTAATGCCCACAGAAAACATCATCTGAACACTAAAGAATGATGAACAAAGAATTCAAAACTGCCAAATATGAAATTTGTTAATTTAATGGTAAAACTAAGCTGTTTCTTTCTTTCTTTCTTTCTTTCTTTCTTTCTTTTTTTGGCCAGAAAAAACCAGCTGCTTCTAACAGGCCTTCTCTGAAGTTTATACTATTTTGGAAAAGGTTCTGAAGTACAAGAATACATTACAGCGTCAGAAATCATCAAACACATTAGAAAGCACCCAGACACCAACCACGGAGAGTAAACCGGCAACACCTTATATTTCAATTATATTTCTCTCTCACTAGAAGACACATTCATTCAATATAGTTCTGAATTCGACCAATTAATCAGAAAAGGAAAAATTGTCAAAACCACAACTACTTAAACCTTTTCCGCTTTCTATCAAGCAACAATTTTGGAAGCTCCAGAAATAGCTGTCTAATTTTGTGTAGCCACCAAGCAACTAAAGTTTAATGATGGTGTGCACCATTCAGCAAAAGAGGACGAGGAATGTAGGAAAGGAATCGAGGAAGAGAAAAGTTAAAGCCTATAGGCATCAAAATTTGAATGGTATGCCAATAACAACATATTTTGTTCACACAGAAAGCCACAACAAGACATAATTAGCTTTCAATTTAAAAAAAAAAAAAGAAAAACAAGAAAAGAAAACAAAGGAACATTGATTGTCAATCACTTCTCCAAAAATTTTGATCCTGAGAGTTCCCTGCTTTATGCCTGAGAAGCACTGTGACTAAAACAAACAAGAGTAGAACCAGACAGCAAAAGTTTGACCAATTAAACATAGTTTAATCTTAACCCCACCAAACCAGCCATAATTTTTATTAAACAATCAATTATATTTATACCTAATAACACTGACCTGGCACCCTAAGGGAGCTCATGTGATTGGGAAGGTGGGTGGTTAGGTAAAAGGTCGTTTGTCCAACCCTCCAATGTACCAAAACAAAAACAACGACATTATTAATCCAATCCAGCTACATAACACAGATCACAAAAGGGACTACACAAGTAGATGAGATTCTTTTTTAGTAATGACTATCGGAGTTAAGAAAGTCTTTAAAAATTTACTTATTTCTTTCTTGACTGAGATGAGAAAGCTCAACTTGCTTCCTTCTAAACAAAAGCAAGAATCTCAACTTGCACGGCTAATCTGCTAAAAAGTTAAGCTACCATATACCCTACTTAATCTTTCCTGCCTTGCTTAATAAGCTAGATTGCTGCCCAGTCAATATTCATTAAAAAGATGGTGAGAAAATAACAGGGCAGGAGTGGAACAGCTTTGATATAGACATGCATGAAAGTCACCATGACAATCCATCAATCTAAGGTAAATTACAATTTATCACCCAATGGTTTGGCCCGGAATCAAATCCCCTCTTCTGGTTTGAAGTGTCTGATTCAACTCTACCATATAAACGCTTAAGTAATGACACAAAGTAAAGATATATAATTCATAGCTGAATCTATCACTTCTACCATAAACAGTTCAACACTCTGTAAGGCTATTACTAGGATTAAACAATATTTTGGAAACTAAAGCTGTCCCCTTATTCCTAACTATAGCCTTAAACAACAACAACAACAACAAGCCTTATCTTTTTAGATGGGTCAGCTACATGAATTATATGACGTCATTGTGCTTTATCATTTATTAAACTTTTAAAAATATTGTTAATTAAGATCTCCCAATCAACAACTTTCAAAAGTGTTCTCTTTGACCTTCCTCTGCTGTTCTTGATAGGACTCAAAATTATCTATTCCACTCTCCTCATAGGTGCCTTTCGTGATCTTCTTTATACATATCCAAACTACCTCAAATGATTTTTTACCATTTATCTTTCGATAAGTGCAACGCTCACTTTTTCCACATGCGCTCATATCGGATCTTGTCTCTACATGTATATCCGCATATCCATCTCAATATTCTCATTTCTACTACTCTAACTTTATGTTCTTGCTGTCTTATTAAAGCCCAACATTTACTACGATATAATATTGTTGGTCTTATAGCAATTCAATAAAACTTCCCTTATAATAAGTTATAATTTTATGTCTAAAAAATCATTTAAAACAACAAGAAGCCTTATTACTGTATGTGGGATTGGATACATTAATTGTATTATGACATTGTGTTTTATGAACAACCAATTCTTTGGATGAATACATTTTAACAATGAAAATATGTGATCATATTTTATAACATTTGGGTGTAAAATATCACAGGGTATTTACAGGTAACTGAATAAACAACAGAGGTGCTAACACTTTAAACCAAAGAAAGATAGTTGGCCCAAAAAAAAAAAAAAACGACTAGGAGATATATTCAGTGTAGGTTGAACCACAAGAGGGTAAACTATAATTCAATATCCAAAATATAATGACCTCTATCTTTGTACATCATATGACAGGTAGAGCACCATTGTTCAAATGCAAACCCTGATGTTCCATTCCAAGTTATTAAAAGGTACGGTAAAAGGAAATAATTCCAATACCTCCTTTTTCTTGCACTCCTTGTAAACATCAAACTGTTCTTGACATTTACTCTTATCTGAATTAAACTCCTCAAGACCTGAAAAGTTATATAAAAGTTAGATACATGTCCTACTCATACTTCCAAACCCAATCCACTTAATCAACAAATATCTATTATAGAATTTCTTAAAAATAATAATAATAATAATAATAATTTCAGCATACACTACATGAATTCATGATACCATTCAGTTTGATTCAAATAATCACATAAATCTATACCAACTTAATAGTTATAGGAAAAAAAATCATTTCACAAACTTTATGAAAAATAATTACACTCGTACTGTCATACACCAACCAAAAAGGGGAATTAAGCAGACTCATATACCTTATGCATGGGAAAAACCAAGCGCTCATTAGTAAAACCAGAACATTTCATGTTTCATCCTAGGTAGCTTATTGAATATTGAAGGCCTCAAATTGAAGGAAAAGATTAACAGTAGAATGAATTCAACTTGATGAATTTTTTCTGCATACTTAATTATCTGTGTGTTGAAGTGTTGCTCACTTTCCTCGAGACTTAAAACAACAAAAAGGAAATATCTTATGAGTTAATGTACTAAAGTTCTTTAAAGTCAATGTGGACATTCATTAAAAGCAAAAACAAAAAAAAGCTTCATTGCATCTCTTTCAGTGAGTCAAGCGTCTAATATCTACCATGAACTAATTGCATGAGTTTTTCTTGTTATTGGAATATATTAGTTAAGCAGATAATATATTCCATTAGATTAAGATGTTTCAGCTACAGAAGCATCTGAATTAGACGCTGATATGTAAATTGTAATTAATAAAAGTTGGTTGGTTAGTTATGAGGAGAATAATAACATCAGGTTAGCATCTCTATATATAGGGATGCCCCCCCTCTCTCTCTCCCATTCCTGTCTCCTTTTCCCTTGTCTTTCCTCTTCTTTTCACCACTACGCATCAGATTCTCTGATGTCCTGTGTGAAACTTAACATAGGTCATCACTTGCACAGACAAGCCTTTCTCTCATGCTCAGATTGAAGATGTAACTAGGTATGGAGTAAATTTGAATACAGAAATTGCAGTGCTAAACCTGGGGTGTTTCTGATTCATGATATAACGAAAAAAATAATTAAGGCTGCTCTAGCATTGATAAACACCTGACTTTTTCTGATTCTTAATACATCAAAGAAGAAAAATAAAAGCTGAATGACACCAAAGTCCATAGCTTTCCATAGTTTTTCCAGCATATTGTTTTGATATTTGCAAGTTACATAAAACATAACACTTTTGGAAGTTGTTGATCGAGACTTCTTAGTTAACAACATTTCTAAAAACTTGATAAATGATAAAGCATAATGGTGTTGTACAATCTATGTAGCCGACCCCACCTAGTGAGATAAAGCTTGCTATTGTTAGTGGTAGAGCCACGTACAGGTAAGGGGGGCAAATTACATATGTAGTATATGAAATTTACAACCTTAAACCTCATATTTTTAGCATTTTTTGAACTCTCTAGACTCAATAAAAAATATTTGGGGGTCCAAATTTAAATTCGATATCAGCCTTCTCAACATATTTTTAGCAAAAAGATACTCAATATATTTTGCCCAAATAAAAATATTTATAATTTTACTTATGTTATTATATTTTTTGCCTGATGTAATTAATTAAAAAATTAGAATATTATTTTTATAATTGTTAACTTTTAAATTACGTTGCCCTGCACCCCCTAATTCAGGATTCTGGCTCCACTGTTGGTTATTGTTGTTGTTGGATTTGCAAGTTAAATAAAAGCACCCATTCCTAAAAACCAACATGTATCTAGTGAATTCTTATACAAAGTCACCGGTGAAAGTCGATATAATTACTGATTTCCTGTAGTAACAAAGACACCAATTCCCTCTGTAAGGGTGAACCCTGATTGACATTTTATTATGCTACTCGAGCTCTTGATCTCCGGCAAAAATAAAATCATAGACCACTAGATAGGTGAGGCTAACAAATTACACATAAATCACATTATAAAATGGCAAACGATGTGTAATTTCATACTAATAAATTTCAACGCGGAAAGTTAAATGCATTAATAAGCGAAACCCGAATCTCCAAACATATAGATTTCATCGGAGGCATTCATCAATTCGATAACCCAGTTTCGCTTGCAGTATTGCTCATGTCTTAAATAAATTTGAAATTAAAATTCTAGTACAAAGAAAAAAGTAAGATGTTTCAGTATCTTACATTTGAGAGAAGCTGTGTATTGAGGAAAGCACGGAGAGTCGGCGATTCTAGCGGCACCAGCATATGGCGGTGTTGTTGAGACTTTGGACGCCATCGCCGCGATTTTTCTCGGAAAGTCTAACCTCCTGAGTATGAGCGGATGGCACTTCGTCTCTTCAAAGATTAGGGGAGATAAATAAGGAATAGAAGATATTTTAAAAAAGAGAGCGAATGACAACTAAATCCAAAAAAAAAAAGTCATTTTATTTAATTTAAGTCCAAACAAAGGTAATCTTTTTGGTCTTTAAGTAATATTTTGACATTTTTTTAACTTTATGTTTTAAATTTATAATTTAATCTTGTTGAATTTGTAATTGGTTTTTTTAATTTTAATAGAAAAATAAAATATTAATGATTAAATTAAAAAAATTATGTCATTATTTAAATGTTTTTAAGAACTTACAAATTAGCACCTATTTGGTTTCTCTTCTTAAAACTGTTTTACATTTTTAAAAAACAAAAAAATAAAAAAATCATTTGGATAAATGCTTTGAATTTAATTATTTTTAAAAATATTCTCATTTTAATAAAAATATTTTAAATTTGTTTTTATTTTACTTTTTTTATTTTCAAAACACATTATATTTGATTATTGTAAGGTATAGTTAGCTTAATTAATTTTTGTCATGAACTGCCATCATTAACCACATGCAACTATCACTATAAGTATATTTCTTTTAATTCCTTAGTTGTTTTTAAATTAAAATAAACAAATATATTTTCATTTTATTTTGTTTTGAAAAAAAATTCTAAATATTATATTATACAATAGTTTTTAAAAATAAAAAATAATAATAGAAACAAGATAGGCCATTCGTATCCCAAATTTACAATTCATCATCTTGAATTAATAATTTGCTATCCAGATTTTAAAAGGTAATACAAAATTTGATGATTAAATTTTAAAAAATAACTTGTCATTATTTGAACACTTTTAAAAAATCCTCAACTTAAAATTTCATCTTATTGAATTTGTAATTCATTTTTTTTAATTTTAATAAAGAGCACAAGTCTAATAATCAAATTTTAACAAAGATTTGCAACCTTGACTCCTAAATTTTTAATTTTTGCCAATAGAATTTGTAACTCATTTCCCCTCTCTTATTGACATAAACAAACCTTGACTCAATTTGCGAAGGACCATGTTGTCATCATTTATAAACTTTTAGAAATTTGTAACTTTTTTTTTTAATTTTACAATTTTAATTTCAAATATTTAAAACTTAATTCTCTCATGCCTCATTTAGTGTATATAATTGTTTTTTGCTGAAAGTAAAAGTACAAGTAAAGATAAAAGTAGAGTATAAAATTGTGTTTGATATAGAAGAATAAATTAAAAAAATTATATTTAATATTATATTTATATTTTTAAAAAACCAAAATATCCTTGGGGAAAAAAAAGCCCAAAACCACCTGCATGAATGAAGCTTCTGCAATGAGAATACCACCATTGAAGAACACAAAACCATCATCCGAGAAGAAAGATCAAGGAAGATCCATGATTTCAACTCAACCAGCAAAGCATTCCAGCATAAAATAATAAGATCAAATTTCATAAAATCAAATTTGAAAATCATGGAACACAGTTAAACACATATTTGCAACCCAGATCTGCAACCCGATTAGCAACACTAAAGAAAACGACAGAGAAATGCAAGTTCTGATTTGCTCCACCCAAGCCAATTTGCTTGCTTTTGAGCTCAATAATTCCTCCAATTCATCAAAGCCTCGAGCTGTCGTGCTCATCAGAGCGAAGGATGGACGTCGTAGCTAGGCGAAGGATTGTCATCATAGTTTCTGGTGGAGGTCTGTCGCTCCCATTGTTGGTGGAGGATCGTTGATGTCAGTAGTGGAGGGTCAATGATCAGCTAGCAACAACATGGAAGAAGGGAGGAGAAGGTCGGGACAAAGGAGTCTAATGAGGGAATGAAACTCACTTCCATCGATTGACAGATGGACCCACTTCTATCAATTTTGATGGAATGACTTCATAAAAGACAACTGGCTTCCATGAAATATTCGCTCCAATTCCACTTCTATCATCCTAATTCCTTGCTAGCAAATGGGTCCTTAGATTTGTTGTAACATCATCCAATTTTAAAAACTTGGAATTTAAAGCTTTAGGAAGGGTAAATTGATAAGTTTAAGTAATTATCAAATTATGGTGTTTTCTAATTACAAATGAGATTATTGAGCCTTTGAATGTTTTTAGAAGGAGGATAAATTGGTGTTCGGACAGACTGAATATCATGTAAGGCCCAAAAAGTAAATTAAGGCTATGAAACAATTACATAGCATGTGGTTCATAGTATATGGTTTATTATAGTACATCTTTTATTTTTCCTATGGTGATGAATTGGCCAACAACTTCTAAGGAGAGATTAAGTAGATTTTATTTTAATTAGAAAAATTTTAAAAAGTTTTTATATTGTTTATGAATTTTTAAATTATTTTATTATGCATGAAAAAACACACAACAAAATAGTTGTTACTTAAATTTTAATTTGTAAGAGCAAAAAAGTGATAAATCTAATAATATTTGTTGTTGGATAAATTTTCTTCTTCAATTAATCAAACAGAATAGAACATAATAGTAAACTTATTTTTAAATTTGATTTAAAATATTTTCCTCATATTAATTACAAGAAGAGCACAAAAATGAGAGATTAGGATATTAATCCCTAAGACAACACATTTCTAATATATTTAATGTTACTATTTATAATTTTATTAATAAGGATGATGATAATAAAATGCCCGTAATTATTTAAATAATAATCTTGTCCCTTAAAATGTCATAATTTTACTTAAGTCCTTAAAGATTTTTATATCAAAAAATTTTAAAATAAAAAACTATTTTACCCTTATTGAAAATAACAAGCCTTAATAACAATGTTTATTTAAGGAATAACAACTTTTGTATTATGAATTGCAAAAGTTGAACATCTTATACCTTAGTTTTAATGATTATAAAATAAAAAAAGTTTTTGTTTTATAGGTTTAATAATTAAGAGTCAATGAGTTGTAAGGGATTTGGCTATTTTTACTCTAAAATTCTAACTCTTGGTCTTATTCCCAAATAATTGCCTCATTTACAAATACCCAAGAAATGCCTAAACACTTCTCGTATCCTTTCATATTGTATTTTCTTTCAAAAATTAAGTATTTGACTTAATTTTAACTCCTTAAGGACCCTTAGTATTGCTTGAAAAATATCTCAATTGATCTTAGAATCAAAAATTCAAAGGCTAAGAGCCTTTGTTAGCTTTTTGTGAAATGGTCCTTCTTCCAAAATAAGCATCCTTTATTGTAGAATAGCTTATTCTTGTGTGTGTTCCTTATTCCCAAATATCAACTCTCTTGTTTATTTAAGAATAACTTATTTGGAAATAGCTATTTTTATTCAAAAATGATAACTCTTTCCTTCAAAGCAATTTTCGATAAGTCTTTCATAACATCTTATTCAGGAATAACTTATTTGAGAATAGCTTCTCTTATTCTCAAAAAAAGAATGCAAGATCAACGTGTGCATAAACATCTTCCAATATATGCTCCTTCCTTCAAAAGAACTCTCTTTACTTGCTCATTGATTTGTTCTTCATTATTTCAAAATAAACCACTTTATTCTGAAAACAAGCATGAAGAAACATGCTTTGATTCTTGTGAGAATAATAGGAGAATTCCAAAACTCTCTCTCTCTCTCTTCTCTTTCCTTTCGCCTTCTGAGAGTTGTGTTAGTTATTTAATCTTTCTAGAATCATTTTAAATATAACTTTGATCTTATTCCTAAATTCCTTATTCTCAAATAGCTTCGTTCTTTTAAAATATTCTCTCACCTACTTTATCAAAATATTTAATGCAGAGAGATGTTACTTTCCTTACTTGCTAAGAGAGAGGGAAAGCTCCATTATAAAGCATAGTTACATTGTCTTATTTCAGGGAAATTTCATAAGAGAAAAGACGATGATTCTAATGGCTATATTCATAAGTCTAACAAATCATTTATAAAGTCTAACTATAAATTGAAACATTTATGAAGATGGTGAACAAGAAAGACATGAACGAACTACTTGAGTTACTTTCATTTATTGTTTACCAACTTTTTAAGTTGTATTCATTATAGTGAGCTTCACTAATTATATATCAGCTTTTAGAAAGAGTATTTGACAAAAGTAGTTTATTCTTGAACCTACTCTGTTCATCTCTACTTTTTATTTTTGAAATTGAGGATCTTAAACTTGAGGAGTTTAAGAGGGTTATATCATTAATTTTGTAAGGGAGAGTGATTCAAAATCTAGTATGAGTCTAGGATTGTACTGAGACTAATAAGAGTCTGGATTAATCTTGGTGGAGTTAGTGAAAAAAATCTCAAGTAATACTTGTGGACTTAATGTAAGGTCAAGTGGTTATAGCTGAATCAGGATAAGTATCTAAGCAAACTTCTCTTTCTTACTCTCTATTGTAATTGATGATATCATTCTAAGCTCATGTTCTTAATTTTATTATTATTAGCTAAATTTTTATAAAGCTCAATTCACCCCCATCTTGAGAAAACTTTTAATTGGTATTAGAGCTCATTTTTCACTTAACTGTTGAGTATAAAAATTCTACTAATGGCTAATTTTGTAGATGATAATGTCGAAGATGGATTATCCACAACTAGACCACCTACCATCAAGGGCAAGGAGTATCCCTTCTAGAAAGCTAGATGATGACGTACTTAGAAGTACTCACCATTTAAATGCTTAACATCGTCACCAAAGGTCTGTTGTTCCAATGACAGTTAGAGATGATGGGTTAATAAGAGTAAGGAGAAAAAAAGAATGGAGTGATGTAAGCATCTCATCAATCTCAATGCTAAAACCAAGCTTGTAACATCCTCGATTTTAAACTAGACTAATTAAGCCTAGATTAGATTAATTAATTGTATAAGTGAGGTGTGTGGCTAGAGAGGCCTAATGAGCATGTTTAATCGTGATTTTCATCCCTAAACGTGGGTTTGAAGGAGAATCAAATTACTTCGGAATGGGAATAAGAAGAAATTTGAAGGATAAAGTTCTATGCCATGAGCCGTGACTTGTAGAGCAGGTCGCTACGACTCATGCATGTTAACA